AAAAAATAGCTAAAGGTAGCATGTAATAAAATCAATAGCAAAAAACCAAAAAGATCATAATGTATGTGCCAGGAGAACCACTTTGGAAATGCAGTTCCACAGACAACACTGTGCCCAACACTGAAAAGGACCTCCCTCTAAACTTGCCTCACAAAGCCTTAAATGCATGAATACAAACAATAAAAAATAGCTAAAGGTAGCATGTAATAAAATCAATAGCAAAAAACCAAAAAGATCATAATGTATGTGCCAGGAGAACCACTTTGGAAATGCAGTTCCACAGACAACACTGTGCCCAACACTGAAAAGGACCTCCCTCTAATCATCACTTGCCTCACTTCTTTTGACAGACCTTGACTGTTTAGTTTCATGCCCCAAACTTTCCAGTAAGCAAACAAGATCAGCCTCCACCCCAAATAGCTTACTATCTAAATTCTGGCAGCAGGAAACCATAGACAACAGGGAAGGATGGAAGGCTATGAATTGCACAATTAACAATCAACTTTAACTGATATTTAGGATTCATTCCTGCTGAGGATGAGAAACGTGTCAAAGAAACATTTCACTTGTGGAGTTTCTTTTATCTGGATGCTCTAAACAGCAAATGAGCACAGCAAATAAAAAGTGACAATCATAAAAAAGATTTCAGCAGTTCTTCGGGTGCATTTTAAAGAACACAATGTGCACTATCACATATAGATTTGACCTTCAATTCAACAAGTTACTTTTTCTTTTTTCCAAAAAATTAGAAGGACAACGCTGTGTGGCACCACAGACTACCTCGCTCCAGAAATGATAGAAGGGAGTCCACATAATGAAAATGTTGATGTGTGGTGTGTTGGGGTCCTTTGTTATGAGTGTCTTGCAGGATATGCACCATTTGAAGCACCGACCCGTATAGAGACATTCAGACGAATAAGAGAGGTATGTTGTTATCATTAAACAAACTTTCAGAAGAAATAAGTACATACAGTCCAATGTGAAAATTCAGACGAATAAGAGAGGTATGTTGTTACCATTAAACATATATATATATCCCACCCATCTGGTATATTTATACCACTCATAGCAACGTCTTATTATCTGTGGAATTTTTAAAGATGGAACTAATTATATAGGAAAGGCAATGGAACATGCAGTCTGTGAGCACTTAGTGAAGCCTGTAATGTTTACTAAGATTGAACATGAATTTATTAAAAGCAAGTCATGCCAGACTAATCACACCTCTGCTTTTGATAGATTCACCAGCTTGGCAGATCAGCAGAATGTATGGATGTAACAGATTTTTATTTCAACAAGGCTTTCAGCCAGGTCCTGCATAATATTTTTTAGCTAGTCTGGTATCATACGGGCTAAACAGTGCTACTATGATGTGGATTTCTATCTGGTTGACAGCTACACCGAAATAGTATTCAGTAATGGTTCTCTTGTCATCCTAAAGAGAAGTGACAGGCAGTGTGCTGTAGAATTCTATCATGGGCTCAGTATGATTGAACGTACCGTATTTTTCGCTCCATAAGACGCACCTCTCCATAAGACGCAACAAATTTTTAGGAGAAGAAAACAGGAAAAAAATAATCTGTTTTCTTCGCTCCATAAGACGCACAGACTTTCCACCCCCCTGTTTTGTGGAAAAAAGTGTGTCTTATAGAGCGAAAAATACGGGGTATTTTAAAATTTCTTGAATGAAGGAATAGAGGGGATGGTTATCAAATTTGCAGATGAAACTAGATGGGGGAAGCTAACAATTCAAAAAGGGAAAACAGAGTTGATTGATTGATTGATTGATTGATTGATTGATTGATTGATTGATTGATTGATTGATTGATTGATTGATTGATTGCATTTATACCCCACCCATCTAGTCAATCGACTACTCTGGGTGGCTTCCAACATATATAATAACAATTTAAAATATAACAAGATTTTAAATATCAATAAGCAAGTTATCCAAGATCGAAAAATAAGGAAAAAAGAGGAAGAAAAAATCAAGTGTTAACTGGAGGGAAGGCCTGCCTAAACATCCAAGTTTTCAGTTTAAGAGTTTAAGGTGATCGTAACAAATCAGAGAATTGAGCCAAAACAAAATGAATTTCAATAGGGAAAAATATAAAGCTGTATATTTAAGCAAGTAAAATCAAATGTACATACATAGGATGCGTGATACATGGACTGGCAGTAGTACACGTGAAAAGGATTTAAGGGTCTTAGTAGACTACAAGCTAAATGTGAGTCAACAGTGTGATGCTGTAACCTGCAATTCTAGGCTTCACAACAGTAAGCTCCATCAGTTGACACTGATTTGAAAAGAGAACATTGCTACTGCTTAAGGTGCTAGGAATACAAAACTAGAACATAGAAAGCTTTCTTATACTGATTCACCCAGTTGGTCTACCTTGCCTAGTGCTGTTCACATTTCACTAGCAGCAGTTCCTCAGGAATTCTGGAGAAATTCTTTCCTAGTCCAACCTGGAGATACCTGGTGGTCTCTCATCCAAGCACTAATCAAGCCCAAATTCCTTATTTTTCAAAACTGGACAAATTTGTGTGTGTTCAGGGTGGTATGGCAGAAAACTAGTATTTTCATAGCTCAGGGATCAAGATGTTCTAGGGAATGTGCGGACAGAAGGTGAGCTTGAGCACAGCCTGAAAACTTCCACTTCTTCTTTTTTTCCAAACAAAGTTCTCAAAAAATACCGTTTCCAACCTCTCAAAGTTAGTAATGTGGGTAGGAATGCAGCATAGTATGAGGAAACTCTATTTCTTTGAAGAAAACAAAACTAGGTTGGTAAAAAATGTAACATTTCTGAAATATTTTCTTTCAAGGTTAATTTAGAATTTCCACCATGGATGTCTGATGGAGCCAGAGATCTCATCTCCAAAGTACTTAACCGTATACCATCTTTGAGACTTCCTCTGCAAGAAATTATAAAACATCCATGGGTTAAGTCCAAATCCAGGAGAATCTTGCCACCTGTCTTCAATGACCTTGAAGAATGATCCATTGCACCGCATCCCAAAAGATGTTAAGATGTATCAGATGGCTCTTGTATCTTTTTTGGACTGCTGAACATTGTGATAAATAACAGCTGAACAGTTAAACAGTTGAGCTATCACACACTTTTCCAGTGAATTCTCACTGCTACTGGTAATATGCTTGGCTGAATAACTACTGTATTTATAAGGGATGGAGGAACTTTACTGCTTAATGTACAGTGGGCGAAGGGGGGAAACAAGATTTTGTATAATTGTAAACATTTAAAACAATAAATGTGCAAAAAAAAACCCACCCACCACCTGGCAATATTGCCTCCATGCCCCTAGAGGGCAGAGGAGGGCTTTTAGAGCAAACAGTTCCCACCTCCAAAAAAAATGGGGCAGGAGACCACAAGACTCTAGAAATATCTCTGAAGAATACACAAGGCTCATAGGTGGCCCAGCCCTGCAATATATATTTGATTACCTTAGTGTAAAACAATTATAAACCACATACTCTTATCACTGAGCATTTTGCATATCTCTTTTTCTGCAGTTTAACATTTTGTCTGGTTATACATGCTTTCCTAGACTGGGCAGAATAGCATATTTATTAACATAGCACAGGTCTGTACATTTTGGAGTACACAAATTGTTCAGAGGATAAATAGGTTAGACACACTAGGTGCAAAACATATCTGAGAATGCATATACAAGGCTTTTGAAGCAGAGAAGAAATTGCTGTTTTTGCTTTGAAAATAGAGATGGGTGTCACTAAACTTAATGTTCCCAAAAAAAGAGGAAGCAAAGAGTAAACAGAGAACATTTTTTTCCTACTTTAACTATCTGTTCAGGAAAGACGCCATTTTCTTATGTGGTATAATGAGTCCTGGGAAACTTCCAAGCAAAGTTTTTTTCATGCCATTGTCATGCTTCTTCCACAACATTTTAATGGACTTCTGCTGTTACCAGGTACACTCTCAGAGCACATGTATAAACTCAGGCATGTTCAGAGACATACCCAAAAGGAATCTTTGAACCATCTTGACACAGATTGGGCTGACTACATCACACTCACATAGAGCTCTTCACAAGAGGATTTTACTGAGCAGAAAACAATTTAAATACAGCAAGGGTTTTAAACTCAATTTACCTGAGGGCCACTGGAGGCAGAGTCTGGGTGAGGCTGGGCCGCATCAGATTTTCCGCCAAGCGGAGCAAGAGCCCGAGGAAGCCGCCCAGGAGTTTCCTTAGCCGGCAGAGAGGTGGGCTGGCTGGCAGGCTGCAGTTCTGGATGGAGGGTGCAAGAGGTGCTGTCTTGGGAGAGAGCCGGCGAGCGAGGCAAGGCTTTTTCTTTTCTTTACTCTTGACAGCAGAGGATGTGTGGGCGCTTTGGGGGAGCAGGCAAGGCGAGAGCCACAAACTATCATCTGGGGGGGCCGCAAACGGCCCCCGGGCCGCATGTTTGAGACCCCTGAAATACAGTATAGGAAAGATTCAACAGTAAAAAGAAAGGATCTTTCACTAAACCCTCTCTCTCTCACACACAAGGGGGTAGACTGGGAAGCCATCAATGTGTGGGGAAAACACTCCCACCAGATAGCACAGGGGGACCAAAATTACCCAGCCTTAGCCTCATCAGAATGGAACAACACGAGGGAATTCTTGAGCAAAGGTCAGAAGAGAGAACAGGCTAGCAGAAGGCCTAGGCTAGAAGCCAGGGATTCAGGAGAGCAGCATAAACGAAGGGGCTCCTCTGGCTCAGTCCTGGATTCTAGGAGGCCAAAACAGTTATTTCATCTAAGAAATTAAGTCAGCATAAAGAAGCTTGGTAGGGATAAGGAGGAGAGTTCAGGCAGAGATAGATGCATAAAGAAGAACATTTCCTGAGAAAAACTAATACAGCTCCTGTATGTCTTTTATATGGTTTCTGGCCAGTCTGAGGAGTGATCTGACCCCTTGTTAGTCATGTGTCCTCCTCTGACCTGATCTTAATCTTTGCCCACTTGACTAATCCTATCTGATGCTCCAGAGACAATGTCAAGGAAGAAGAAGAGTCAAAATGCACACTATTCTAGGCTGCTTGCATTCCTGGATCTCCAGACCATCTTTTTAGCATAAAAACCAATCTATATAGCTTCTATAGATGGCCTGTCCTATCCTCTGAGATGACTCTTTGGCTAGGGTATTCATCTCTTCTTTGTAATTTTGATAGGGGGCACATATTCCTGTTGTTTCCCTTTGGCAGCTTGGCTTACTTGAGATCAGAGGGTGTCTTACATCACAGCTACTGTTTTTAACCTATACTTGTCTTTGGCCTGAGAAGTCTTTCAATTAAAACAGTCTGTGACATGCATGTATGTCTTGGCAAAAATTAGATTCTGCAGGACTGTTGTACAAACCTGGCCGCTTTGGGAACTCTAGAACAGTGATGGCGAACCTATGGCACGCATGCCACAGCTGGCACACACAGCCCTCTATGTGGGCACACGAGCCATAAGTCGCCATAGAGAAATACTTACCCATCCTCAGATCCCAGATGTTGGCACTCCCCTCTGGTGGAGTCCAGCAGAGGGGTGCAATGGCGACCATTACCGGTCTAGCCTAATGGGGGATTGGAGGACCAGTAATTTTTTATTTGTTAATACCGCCCATAGGAAAAACAACAACCAAGCATTTAACCCTTGCAGTGTAGCAGCTGTTTTTTCTAAACTAAATCCTCAGCATTCGCATCTCAATTGCAGTATTGGCACTTTGAAATAAATAAGTTGATTTTGTGTTGCAGTTTGGGCACTCAGGCTCAAAAAGGTTCACCATCACTGCACTAAGT